AGCAGGTCTGCTTAAATACTTTCTTTAATAATTTTTAAAACATTAAAATTAAATAGGTCATGTATGGAAAATATCAAGTTTAATATACAGTTTTGTGGATGTAAAAGTTGTGACATTTTACATTTAACAATAAGTTTAAGAAAGGGCAGTGATTTCATGCAACGGGCATGTAACAAATATATCGAGCTTTTCTTTTCTTTTTTTTAATGTTAACTACATTCAATAAAATAAAAGAGCAAAGCTCCAAAAGTACAATAATAAAGAAAGAGAGAAAGAAGGAGAGGTATACAATCAATGGAGGAAAAAAGAGCAATGAAAGAATTCGCCTTCTAAAATCTCTCCTCAAACCGCCAAAAATGTACTTCCTACTTTCATAAATGATCAACCTTGGCTACCAAACACAATATTAACCCTAACCTCAAAGAACGCCACACAAAGCAATCTCCAAATACTTCCACCTCAGAGACCTCTAAAAACCTCTAACAAGTACCCCTATTTAGGGTTTTCCCTTCAACAATCACCGGGGTTGGAGTGGCACACAACCTGCTCTGAAATGTTGTTAAAAGAAAAACAATAAGAGTATTGCGGCACATCAGAGCATAGCAACACACAACCAACGACCGAAAAGTAGGGTTTTAAAGAATGGGTAAGAAAGAAGTGGGATATAAAAGAGGGAAAAAAAAGAAAAAAGAAAAAAGAGATTCAGGTGAGGGCAAAAGTGACAAGAAAGGGGAATAAAAGAAAGGGAGGTGGAGGGGATCTAAGCAGTAAAGCCTGCCCACCCAACTTAGTCATCTCACCACAAAAAAAATGTTTTTGGCCACACGTAAAGGAGTTCAAATCCCGAAAAGGGGTATATAGAGCCTATCTTAGGCATCAAATTTTAATGGAAAATTATCATAATTATGCTTTAATTTTTATTTAATTGGAAAAAAAATTTCTCAATTTTCATGAACCTTGTCCACACCCCTTTCTTTCAATTTTGACATTTTTTTTATCAAAATAACTTTCACGGTAGTCTTATTATCGTAGTGACTACCGCATTACGATATTTTAAGTACCATGATGATCAGGCTAAGCATTACGGTACTTTAAATACTGTATTGACCAAGCTAAACATTACGGTACTTTAAAAACCGTAATGCTCTCTAGGTCTCTTTCTCCCTCATTTGCCACATCATACTGAAAATTTGAGCATTGCAGTCTTTAAAGTACCGTAATACTTGACGTGGTCATGACGGTACTTAAAGTATAATAATATAGTAGTCATTACAGTAATACCTTGAAAGGTATTTTGGTACAAAAAAAATGCCAAAATTGATGAAAAAGGCTGTGAATGAGATTCATGAAATTTAGGGTTATTTTTCCAATTAGGCGAAGATTAAGATATATATTTGATAATTTTCTAATTTTAATGTGTTATTTTAAAACATTACATAGATAATGTGCTTACTTTGCTAGATAATTTCTAATATTCAATTCCATAGCATAAATAGACAGACCTATTCATATTTTCTCATCCATATATTATTCTCAAACTATTTATATGAATATCACATTGTACAAATAGCATTTGGAAAAAGTTTATATAAGGTAGCAAACTTAAAATGTAGAATTAAAGATGCACCTCAAAAATCCATTTGTTTCAATGTTGAAAAACCCTCTAATTGATCATCTTGACATCGAGATATCTGAATTTGAAAAAAAAAAAAATTGAATCTCAAAACTTGAACATCTTGCAACACATTATCTAGACCGTCCATTTTCAAGATTTTCATATGTTTATAGATCTACTTGATATTAACCATTTTTGGAGTTTAAAATTTTATAATTAGGTATTAAAATAGATTTTTAGATAATCTTAAGAATTATTTACACTAAAATTACATGTTATGATAAAATTTGGAGGTGCTCTTTAATTTGATTGTTTAAAGTTACAACCTTATAGAAACCACATTCATAGCATTTTAATGGGACTTGCGAAGCCGGTACATCACACTAGTGTGCGTGTATGTGTGTATTACTCCTCATGAAAGTATTCCCTACATTCATTTGAGAGTAAAGTCTCATGAACTTATGGTTGTATCAAATACATTTGTTATGAACTTGTGGTTGTACATGTTTTTGTTGTGATCGTGAAGAGATGGACAATAAAGTTCTTTTGTTATGCACCATTAAGTAATTTATGTTCAGATAAGAGATGTTAAATTTTTAATGCCATTTATTTAAAAACAAATAGTGATAAGTAAATTATGGATGTGAGAAGATAAGGTATATTTCTTTGGAGGAGACTAAAAAAAGGCTACCAATGTAATCGTGTTGCATTCAATAACATCAACTTTATCTCCTCTCATCATTTGTTGTAATCCTGTTGCATTCAACAGCATCAACTTTATCTCCTCTCAACATTTGTTTTTGAAAAAAAAATCAATAATTTTCTTTTGAGATGTCGACATGACTGTGTAAAAATAAAAAAAGTATTACAAATACTTTCAAATTTAGGCAGCACAAAGCCCATCTTATAAAAACAATAGTGCATATGAGATAGTTAGAAATGGAAAAATATCTCTTAAAAATAAAAAATATCAATCGTTTATTGTATATTCACCATAAGAGTATAAAGCAGTACCAGCAAAAATCTATCAGCTTATAACTTTCACACAGGACCTCCCTCATTTAGCCTACATCTTTTTTTAGTATTGTGTTTTTTTCATATAGTACTTCGCTCATTTGGCCTACACCTTTCTTTAGAATTATTTTTTTTCCAAAAATTGCCATTCCCTTGAATAAAATTCTCTCTAATGCAGTCACTTCATTTTTAGAACTTCCACTCCTCTATACTAAGTGCTTCTTTATTATTATTATTATTGGTTTTTATTGTAATGTGGTAGATTATTGCTAAGAGAAATGAAAATGTATGAACTCCAGAAAAAAAAAATGCGAATCTAATATTACTAGGAGTGATACTAAACTAACATATGTAACAAGAGTAGATGAAATGATGGATTCTAGTTATATAAATTAGTTTGAGCACAATTAAATTAGTATAATGCATGTTTTGGAATAAAACATTTTGTATTTAGTTTGATTTTTTATTAGACAATTTTTTTCAATTAATTTTATTATTTCTATAGTAGCAATAAATAAAGGGTAGTGATTTCATGCTACAGTTGTACAATAATATAATGCAACAATCTTCAAAAACCATGTTAGGGCCCTTTGTATGATCCAATTTTTTAAATATACACTCTTTTTATTCTAATAAACAATCACAAAAAAGGAAAAATTTGAAAACCTAGAAAGTATTTTTTTAACTCAGTTTAACATAGGCCATCCATTTTGGTGAGATGCTTAGATCTAAGACTTAGAAAAGTTTTTTGGCTTTCCAAATTTTTTAGAACTTTATTATCACTAGATTAACAATATTATAAAAAAAAAAAATTGAATTCATAAAGGCCAAGATCTTGAAATTCATCATACGGACGGTCTAGATTCATTATTGGAGAGGACGATCTTGAATTCATTTTACAAACGGTCTTGATTTCATTTTATAATTTTTTAGATTGATTATTGACATGAAGAAAGTGCGCAAAATTTTTGGTCATACAAATCCTACAAACATGATTTTTTAGAAGTGCGGTTGCATTATACTATGATGCAACCATTGCATTAGAACATTATACTATGATGCAACCGTTGCATTAGATACCCAAAATTATATAAGCTTGCCATTTTAAATTGTAGAATTAAGATGCATATCAACAATCTATCGGAAAAAGACTATTTTGATGTTGAAAAACCGTCTAATTGATCATCTCAACATCGAGATGTATGGACATGGGAAAAATATCAATTTTCAAGCCCCAAGAATAGTACATCATGTGACACATTATCTGGACCATCCACTTTCAAGATTTCATGTGCTCACATATCTGCTTGATTTGAACCGTTTTTAGGGTTTAAAGTTTTATAGTTAGAGATAAAAATAGATTCTTAGGCCATCCCAAAAACTTTGACACCAAAATTGCATCTCATGACAAAGTTTGGATCTCTTCCTTACTTTAATTGTATAAGAGTGCAACCTTATACAAATCTCACCTTTTAGATAATGTGTTACAAGATACACTACTCTCATAATATAAAACCCATTTTTTTAGGCCTATAATTATCGGGTTCAAAATGGTGAATTTGAGGGCTGTTTAATGTTGAAACTGCATTTTTCAGAGAGATTTTAAGGTGCGACTTCAATTTTTATCACAATGCCTAGGCCTTATAGTAACGTTGTCCTCCAGAAGAGCAATTGTAAATTTATGATAATAATATAAAAAGGCGTTCCTCTCGTGAGAACGTGGGTACTGAGTAGTGGGAATGACCCATAATCACTCAGACGGGGCCCCAGTGGTCCACTAAAGCGTGTCCTCCTGTAACCCACCCCACCCTTCTTGTAGGCAAGAAAATCAGAATAAAACATGGCAATTATGTTTTTTTTTTTTTGGAAAATAATCAATAACACCCAGTTTTCAAATATAGCTATTTTCACCAAAGGCTGATGAATAAAGTTTGGATCTTTTTTCCTGGTATTTAACTAGCAGTATCTCAAAACCTGGATTGGTGGGGTGGATCATTTCGCCATAGATCCATATCAGATCATTGGGGATCTGAGACTAGATCAGGTCTAGATTGGCCTAAATCAATGATCCATAAAATATTAAAAATAAATAAATAAAATAAATTAGGGTTTATAAGTGGGGTTCTAGAGGAGACTTAAAAAAATATTAGATTAGCTTTAAAAAAATGAATAAAATATATTGGGGAGTTTTAGGGGGAAATCAGGTTGTGACCCATAACATCCGAAACAGGTATGGTTCTTACCAATTTTCATATGGATCGGTGATCCAGATTGGAATTTATCTGTTTTTTTTTTTTTGGTGAATCAGTGGGAATATTGGGCCCCTACCCGTTTTATTGAAGAATCAAAAGATGTATTACATGAACAGTTCTTATGCAACCTTTGTCATGGGAAAACTAGCAACATCAGATAAAATAAAAGGCATTACAAAATCAGGAGGGCGAGCACGCCACACAGTTGCTTCATTCAAAGAGACCGCTGCTTTGGTCAAAGAGTCTGCAGCCATATTGGCCTTCCAATAAACGTGTTGAACCTTCCAATGTTGATCGGCAAAAGCTGCAAGCTTAGATATACTATTCACCAATGTTAGCCGCAATCTCCAATGAGGCCTGCAACACTGACATATAAAATCAACAAGAAGCTTAGAGTCACTCTCAGTGACAATAGGTTTATAATTTAGCTCCATTGCCAGTGCAATACCCCTTTCAAGTGCATGGAATTCAACTGCATATGTAAAGGCCACTATGAATCCACCTGCATCATTTCTGATAATACCCCCACAACCAGCACTACCTGGATTCTGCCTAGATGCCCCATCAATGTTAAGCTTGAAAAAGCCTAAAGGAAGTGGTAACCACGCCACTTGAATATGAACTTGGGGAGGAACCAAATTCCAATGTAGATTAAGGCAATATGATATACTGAATTCAGACTAATGGTAGGCCCAATTTTTAATTTTTGTCAACGATTTAACCCAATAAAGAATGCACCTTAAGAGAAATTCCCTATGCATATTTCCTCCACCATGTACCCGAGAATTCATTTCCCTGCAAATGCTCCAAATAGTATAGGTGAACTCACAATTCTAAACAAAGTGCATACATGTGTTGAAATCGAAATTTAACATTTTGTCCATCAGGGATATTGTGGTCTGCTCAAGGGGGAAACACTTCCCAAATCTACTCAGGATAGAGCTCCATGTAAGTTTTGAATATGAGCATTACACGATGATATGGTCTGAGAACTCCTCCTCCTTTGAACACATGGAGCAGATGAAGGCCAAAGTTAGGCCCCCATATTGAAATAGTGATGAAGTTGGACTTTGGCCCCCAGATTGAAATAGTGATGAAGTTGGTAACCTGGAATGCAAGGCTAACCAAGTTAAAACATTGCGTTTAAGTGATATAAGCACCTAATGGTTATGAATTCTGATTAAACCATGGTTTAGATGGTCACTTTTTCAAAAGACGGGGAGCTTTTATTATTTTTCAACTCTCTTTGAATGTGCTTCCTCTCATCTTACGCTCCTCACCAATGTTATCAAATTCCCTTCACTTCGGCCAAAGAGGCTAAAGCCTTCGAATTTTACGTATAAACCAAAGAGAAACAAAGCCTGGTGCTATCGCTTCAGTCAGATTTGGACCATTTCATGCTGCTTTGGTTAAATTGTGATCGTTTTGGATTTGCTTCAGGTATGCTTCGAGTTTGCTTTGGATCTACTTCAGCCAGCAAAGAAATAGCTATATAAATATATATTTTTAAATTTTTTTTATTTTTAAAATTTTTTTCCATTATTTGTATATGTTTTTATATGATTTATTTGTATATGTTTTTATATGATTTTTCTCACCAAGCCGAAGAAGACTCTGAAGTGAATCTGACAACATTGCTCCTCACTTTAATTTCCTCAAATTGGATGTTCCATAGACTTGCACCGTATGGTTATTTGGAATTTGGATTAAATGAAGGGAAAATATCTCCATGTCTCCTATTTTTAGATGTCATTTTACAATAAACCTGTGGTTTTAAAAGATATCTTGGGGCATAAAACTTCTAAATTTTATTTCTTCTAACCCCCTAAATCAATTTAACCTTTTTTTTTAGGCCAAACAAATCTAAAAAGACATATTTTTTCTAAAAGCTATCCTCCCAAACTTGTAGAGAGAAAGAAGGGTTTCATGGACGTGAGAGGTTATCGGGAGGAGAGAGATAGGTGTTTTGAGAAACATGGGAGGAGAGAGAAAGAGAGATGTAAGAAAAGAGAGAGTGAAAATTTTGGGGTATATAAGTGAAGAGAGAGAGAAAGGATTTGATTTAGAAATAGCATGTTTTTCTTACATTTATTTAAGTTAAAAAATAGGTTTAAAGTGGCCAAAGGGTTAGAAAATAGATTTGAAATATTGGATTTATCAAGAAATGAAACTTAAAAATAGGAGATATGGAGATATTTTTCCTTAAATGAATATTCCTTAAATGAATATAGACTTACTCTGATCAAATATTAAGCCAAACAAACATGATTCCCTAAAAAGGACAAAGGAGATCTGATATTTTTTAAAAAGAAAATTGTTTCATGTGGGCTGGACCACATGACTACATATGCAATCCAAAAAAGTGTAAAGCATACATCTTAAAGATGGATGCAAATAGGTGTTTCATCTAAAACCAATGGAAACTAAT